ATAAAAATGTGCACATCCTTTGACCCAACAATAGCACTTCTAGGGCTATATCCCAAAGAGATCATACAAATGGGAAAAGGACCCACATGTACAAAAAAATTTATAGCAGCTCTTTTTGTGGTGGCAAAGAATTGGAAATTGAGAGGATGTCCATCAGTTGGGGAATGGCTGAACAAGCTGTGGTATATGAATGTAGTGGAATACTATTGTGCTATAAGAAATGATGAACAGGCTGACTTCAGAAAAACCTGGAAAGACTTGTATGGTCTGATGCTGAGTGAAGTGAGCAGAACCAGGAGAACATTATACACAGTAACAGCCATGTTGCATGATGACTAATATTGATAAACTTAACCCTTCCCAGCAATACAATGATCTAAGACATCTCTAAAGGCCTCATGATGGAAAATGCTATCCACATCCAAAGAAAGAACTATGGAATTTGAATGCAGATCGAAGCATACTATTTGCTATTTTTTTTCCTCTTCTGTTGAGTTTTGTTTCCTCTTTCTGGTGGTTTGTCCTATGGGTTCTAATTCTTCCTTACAACATCACTAATATGAAAATATGTTTAATAGGAATGTAAATGTATAGCCTATATCAGACTGTGCGCCATCTTGGGGAGGGAGGTGGGGAGGGAGGGAGAGAAAAATTTTAAATTCAAAAGCTTATGGAAGTGATTGTTGATAAATCAAAATAAATTAATTTAAAAAAAGAATAACTTTGAGCAACCAAGTCATTCTGACTACTATAAATACCCAAATTCATCTCAAAGATCTTATTAAGGAAGATGCTGTTTGAATCCATAAAGGAATACTGCTGTGGTGTAGGAAATTAGTGTAGGAAATTGGTGTAGGAGTGGGTAGGTTTAGAAAAACATGGAAAGACTTGGACTTATGAAGGAAGATGTTATCCACCTTCAAAGAAACAGATGATAGGAGGAGATAAGAATAGTATAGTCTTACATATATGTGTATGAGTGTATATGTATGTGTATATATATATAGATAGTATGTATGTTTATAGATATCTATGTTTATGTATATATATCCATTCTTAATTGTAGCCTTCTTTAGAGCAGGGAGGGGGGTGGAGGTGAGGGAGAAGAAAAAATAAAGTAAAAAGTGCACAGCAGAGAACAAAAGAAAACCAATAAGGAAACAAAGAAAAGCTAGGCAGCTTTGAAAACAACGTGTAGTAATTATTAGATAGGTTTTCTTGAAATGGAAATGTATTGTTTTGTATTGAATCTTCTCTTACGGTCTGCTGTGTATATGGAAATTTTTTTTTTCTTTTCTCATTTTGTATTTAAGTATAAAATAAAAAAAATTAGAACCCCCCCACCTTATCATACGCCTCTTTCTTTCTGAGGTCATATAAAAATGATTCCAAAGTTTGAATAATAATAATTAGCATTTATATTCCTTTAAAATTTCCAAAGTATTTTCCTTACAACAACTTCATGAAGTAGGTAGTGCAAGAATTCACCCTATTTTATAGATGAAGAAACTGAGTCTCAGAGGTTGATTTGTCAGTATCAGCATCAGGAATTCATCCAGGTCTCTTGACTCCAAGTTTTGTGCTCTTTCCATTCCATCTTGCTTTGAAAGCAAAATGGCGAAGTTAATAGAGCTCTGACCCTAAAGTTAAGAAGACCTGGGCTACGATCTGAACGTAGACACTTACACTAACTGTGTCACCCTGAGCAAACTTCCATCTACCACAGTTTTCTTCTCTGAAAATGGAAATGGTAATAGCACCTACTTCTCAGGGTTGCTGTGAGGATCAAATGAAATAATAATTGTTACCCTTTGATCCAGCCATACCACTGCTAGATCTACATCCCAAAGAGATCAAAGAAAAAGGAAAAGGACTGACTTGTACAAAAATATTTATAGCTTTTTTTTGTGGTGGTAAAAAATTGGAAATGGAGGGGATGTCCATCAATTGGGGAATGACTGAACAAATTGTGGTATATGATTGTGATGGAATACTGTTGTGCTACAAGAAATGATGAGCAGGATGCTTCCAGAAAAGCCTTGAAAGACTTACATGAATTGATGCAAAGTAAGCAGAACCAGGAGAACAGCATACACAGTAATAGCAACATTGTATGATGATCAACTGTGAATGACTTAGCTATTCTCAGCAATGCAATGATCCAAGACAATTTCAAAAGACTCATGATGAAAAATGCTATCCACCTTCAGAAAAAGAAATGATGGAGTCTGAATTCAGATCGAACCCTACTATTTTTCACTTTCTATATTCGTGTGTGTGTGTTTTTCTTTGGGTCTGTGTCTTTCACAACATGATTAATATGGAAATTTTGCATCATTGTACATGTATAACCTATATCAAATTTCTTAGTGTCTCAGGCAGGGAGAAGGTGAGGGAGGGAGAGAAAAATTTGTAACTCAAGATTTTTAAAAAATGAATGTTAAAATTATCTTTACATGTAATTGGGAAAAAATAAAATATTACTTAAACATAAACAAAAATGAAATAATTATAAAAGCGCCCAGCACAGTGCCTGGCACATAGTGAGTACTATATTCTTCTCCCATCATTCCACAGCATGATGATGCTTTTTATTTTATTTTTAAAATTTCTGTAAGTATTTTTGTTTGTTTTTACATAACCTTCATTCTTAAAAATATCCCTTTTATGCACCTACCAATCTTTTGTAACAAAGAATTTAAAAAGAGGGAAAAAAAGCAGTCTAGCAAAACCATATAACATATCAACTTAGGCTGACGGTGTATATAATGTTCTATCCGGTAAACCCACCCTCCCCCACTTTTCAAAGAGGTGAATTTTCCTATCTTTTCTCTGGAGACCAGCTTGGTTGTTATAATTACACAGGGGTCCATTTCCCTTTCTTGGTCTTTTTATTTACGTTGTAGTCACTGTGCGTATTGTTTTCTCACTCTGCATTTGAGTCATCTAAATCTTCCCATACTTTTCTGAATCCTTCATGTTCACTGTTTCTTAGGATGCAGCAATATTCTGTTACATGTTTGTGTTAGAAGTCATTTAGCCATTTCCCAGAGATGGGCACATTCTTTGCTTCTAGTTCTTTGCTACCACAAACAAGTCCTGCTATGAATATACTGGTGTGCATGAGACTTTTCATTTTGTCTTTGACCCCACTGGGATACATTCTTATCAACCACACTTTCTTTTAGGGAAAAGATCTATAATGATACCCTGGCATAATGGAACAAGCACCAGATTGGAGCTTAGAGAGCTCGGGTTCAGATATCTGCTGTCAATTACCCAAGGATCTTGGCAGAGGTGTCTTGGAGCCAGCTTGTATAGACCCTGTAGAGCTGATTGTTAAAATTTCAGCATGAGCATTTACACTTGGGAAATTGTCAAGTGCTATAAATCAGGTCTTGATTTATTGATTTAAGAAGGTGATGGAGAAATTATTAATTATTAATTAATTAAACAATTAAATTAAAATTTTTTAATTATTAGCAATAAATGATAAACTCAAAGGTGTGACCTGCACAGAGTCTCTCTGCCCCACCCCACCCAGAGAGCCTCTTGTAAAACATTTGCCAGCACATCCGTGATCCTTAGATATCTAACTTCTCTTGGGGCTTTAGTTCCCTTATCTTTAAAATGAGGGGATTCAGAGGACCATAGAAACACAGACCTAGAGAATGTTGAGAAGTGTCCCTTCATCTTACAGATACAGACTGTACAGTGCAGTTATTAAACTCAGTGACAAGAAAATGAGATCCAGGGGAGGTAATAAGAGTCAGTGGTGGAGTTTGAACCTAGGTCCTCTGACCCTGAGGGCAGCTAGGTGGAGCAGTGGACAGAGTGCGGGACCTGGAGTCAGGTAGACTCATCTTCTTGAGTTCAAATCTGGCCTCAGACACTTACTAGCAGTGTGACCCTGGGTGAGTCACTTAACCTTGCCTCAGTTTCTTTATCTGTAAAATGAGCTGGAAAGGGAAATGGCAAACCACTCCAGTATCATTACCAAGAAAACCCAAAGAAGAGTAGGGTAGGACTGAAATGACAACAATAAGTCTGACCTGGCTCTTTCCAGCTGTAGCTTATGAAGCTCACACAACATCTGTAACTGCCTTCAAAGGCTATTGCCGCAGGGACCGTGGAGTAATGCAGCGTCAAAAGTGCTGGGTTTGGAGTCAGAGGTACTGCTTGCCAATTCTGGCTCAAGGCACCTCTTCTTTCTGGGCCTAAGTTGGCTTGTCTGTAAAGGCAGGGGATTGAATTAGGCAGCTATCAGGGCCCCTTCTAGGTGCAGGTAGATCTATAATCCTCTGATGGGCATATCCCATTTAAAGCATGTGATAAGATGTCCAACCAACCCACCAACCACTCAATGACCGGCTTTCCTGTTTCCTGCCCTCCATGCTCTTGACCTGAAGCCATTCCGTTGTCCCTAACGGCCTTAGGTGTAGAAGGCAACTGAAGGTGCGATAGGAGTTTCATAGGGACTCAGGCTAAGCTTGGGCCTCTCGGTTTCAGGGAGATGTGCTCAGTGATGAGACCAAATCACGTTCTCTTTAAGAGCACCACATGTCATCCTGATTGGCTACAGCTATGTAGGTCTTTTTAGTGTGCGCTCCCTGCCTCCCTCTCCTCCATCCCTCCCTGTCCTCCCTACTCTCTCTTTTCTCCCTTCCCACAACTCCCTCCCCCTCTGCTCCCCACCTGCCTCCCCCTCCCTTCCCCTCTCCCCCTGTTTCTCTGTTACTGTGCGGATTTCAGCTTTGACCCAGCAGCAGCAGCGAGGATGGGAGACTAGCAACAGATGCTGAGCTCTAAGATTTGTATTCGTAGGCAGCCTCCCTCCCTCCCCATCTATAGATAATACAAAAGAAAAGGCAAGTCTTGGCATCCCGAAAAGAGAGGAGATGACCATTGCTGTTTGAACCAGAAAACGGAAACCTGAAAGCCCAACCTAGAGGCCAGAGGGAGTCATCAGAGCTGCTGCTGGCTTATCTCCCCCTCCAACCATGCTGGGGCTGGGGGCTGGCTGCGGGCTGGCTCCAGAGAAGGCTGCCTTTCTCAAGGAGAGCTCAGGAAGCCCGCTAGAATGGACAGCCCAGGAGGGAATCCAAGATGGGGATAGCAGGAAGGTGCCAGCCCGACAGGGCATAGTCTGGAGGAATGTCATCCTGATGACCCTGCTCCACTTTGGGGCCCTGTATTCTCTCACCCTCATTCCTAAGGCCCAGCTGCTCACTCTGCTCTGGGGTAAGTTCCAGTTCTTTGGCGTCTCTATGTTACATATACTGATATGTATACACGACCTCCGTCTTAATAGCATGTAAGTTCCTTGAGGGCAGGGACTATGTGTGTGTGTGTGTGTGTGTGTGTGTGTGTGTGTGTGTGTGGGTGGGTGGTCTTTGTAACCCAGTGCTTTCCATAGTACCTGGCTCATAGTAAGCATTAATAGTAAGTAATAAATGTTTGCCAATTAAGAGACTGATCCCTTTCCTTTTCACTAACCTAAGGGCAATAGCTACTGAGCCCTTCTTCAGCTGGGGAATTAAACTAGATAACCCAAAGATACCTTCCTAATGTGAAAAATATTTCATTATTTTCCTTTTTGAAGCTCAAAGACTGGGGATTGCTGACCCTCCATTTGTGCCTCCCCCCCCCCCCCAATCCAGTTCAATCAAGAGAAATTTGCCTCCACAGTTCTCTGGAGGCACTCTTAACTGCCTTGAATTGCATCTTGTCTCTTGGGACAAGGCAGTTATTTCATTCCAGGTAATTCTAAATTCTCCTTCTGTCTGACTAAACCTGTTTCCTAGTTTCCTGGCAGACTGTCTCTGGGGTCCCAGGATGTTGCATGTTTTGAAATCATTGATGAAGGAATTGAGGTGCTCTTGTGGTTCAATCCAGGATTTCTAGGGCTTTTCTGGGGGAGTATTGTTTGTGTTTCTCCTTTCTCGGGGGTGGGTGCCTCTGGACCCTGGATTCCGCTCTCATTCTCTTGTGTTTGGTGGATAAGAATTTCAGCCTCCTCCTGGCAGCAAAGATATCCACACTGTGTACTTAATGAGGAGGAGGACTGTAGTATGGGTGTGTTTGGAGGGGACCGAGAGAGGAGGACCTCACTTAGAACAGAACTGAGCCTTGGCTTTCATATATATACTGGCATCATCCTTTTTCCTCCTGGCCTTGCCTGTCTCCCTCTACTATTTCTCATTCTCTCCATTCCTACACCCCCATCCTCAATTCCTGCCCTCCCATTTGCTATTTGCTTGCTATTCTAGCCCCTGAAGTTGTTTTTTCCTCTGGTGAAAACCCTGTCCCACATAAAGCTCATTCAAAGCCCCAGAATACAATACACTTATTAGGCACATGCTCCCCACTCTTGGACCCAGACTGAGGCCAGCCCCCCATTAGGCACCTGTGGCTGTCTTCCCTACCCACCTCCCAACAATGGAGCTGGATGCTAGAGGTACGAAATGCTAAGGCTCCAGAACTCCCTTGGGATTTTTGTTCCTGCCTGATTTCAACCTCCGACCTCCACCTTGGAATCCCACATCAACCTTAGAAAGCTTATTTTGGCTTCTGCTGTTGATAAGCTTTTCCTATAATAGCCAAGACAAAAGCAATAGCTACTGATCCCTTCTTCAGCTGGGGAATTAAACTAGGTAACCCAAGCTTGTTTTTTGTTCTTCCCTTTCTGTGATCCTATTAAGGAGTGAGGGATCAACCTTTTCTATGAACAACCCTCCAATCCTTCCCTCCCCCCCACCAAAAAAAGAGAAGGAAAGGAGAGGATTTTTTTTTCCTAAATAGTCTCTTAAATGTCTTGAATTATAGCTTAGTAGTGGTTGATTGGCAAATTCTATAGTCTTATGTGGAATGAGGGTGGGGAGAGAGGAGGGAAATGACATTCCTGCCTGTTTCTAAAAGTAATATTTTTTCTTATTCTCTTTTTTAAAGTTAAATTTTATTTTTTCATTGAACAGAAATCCATTCTCTCTGTTTCTCTGTATCTTTCTCTATTTCTCTCTGTCTCTCCCTCTCTCTTTCTCTCTTCCCCTCCCCCCTCACTGGAAAACAAGGAAAACACAATTTAAAAATATGCTCTTTAAGAATGCTGGCAATCTGTGGAGAAGGGTTTGTATTTGATTTGGGGGTGAATGGGAAGGGTAGAGGAGTATTTGTTGTTTTTAGTGATCAGTGGCAGTCAGGACACCTTGCCTTGGGGTTCATGCAAGGCTTCTGTGTTCTTTCCTTGACAGTCTCTTCTTTAAGGTTGCTGTAAATGTGTCTGTGGTGACCTCTGTCTGTCTCTCCATCTCTTTTGCTCTGCTTGTTTTCATCTTTTTCTCTCCCCGTGGCTCTTCGTGCGTACATGTATGTGTGTATGTGTGTGTGTGTGTGTGCGTGTCTGTCTGTCTGCCTGTCTCCCTCTCTTCTCACTTCTAAATGGCAAGCTGTAGAAAATGCAGAATGTTCTCAGGACACTGAAACTCTTCCAGGCTAAAAAGAAACCAAGGCTCTCCTTAGCAGGCTTCTTGTAAGCTAAGCTGCAGAATTTGGTCATTTTAGACAGGTTACTTGTGAGTTGTACATCAGAGCATATCTGTCTCTAAGGCTTTATTCTTTTGGCAACAGCGCTAGAGAAAAAAGCAGATAGAAGTGAACACTTAATAATCTTATTTTATATTTATACAGGCCTTCTTATCTTATAGACCATGCTATTCAAATCCATATAGCATGTGCCACTGAAAAGCTGTTTTTCCTGGCACAGACTTGGGGTCCTAAGTAGGGTGAGTCTTGTAGAGCTGGCTTGTGTTGAGGTGGGGAGGGATATTTGTTCTGAAAGACTTATTCTGGAAGACCCTTCTATTCTGTTGGGGAAATGCCCCAGGGAATTAATTGTACCTTACTCTGTGGGGAGGATTCTTTTCCATTTCAGGTTTGATTGGCCTGGTTCCACATTGCTTCACAGAACTCCTGAGTGGCACATGGGGTGTGGCAATTGGATGGCATGTGGGTCAAAGGGTGCCCTGTGTGGGCCATCATTTCCTGGATCGAGCTGTCCAGAAAGTTTGCTGAGGCTAGGTCCTCCATACTTGCAGAATCACCAAATCTTAGAATTTCAAAATTGGAAAGACTCTGAAGACATCCAATCTAACCACGTCCACGAATGAAGTCCAGCCACCATGCACCTTACAAGTGGTCTTCCAGTTTTGGCTTGAAGTCTTCCAGAGACCCGGGAAAGCACTACCAGCTCAAGGCAGCCTTTTCTACTTTTTTTTTTTTTGCATAGCTTTAATTGTTAGGAAGCCTTTTCTTTTCACTAAGCCTAGAGCTGTCTCTTTGGGCTCTCCACTCATTTCTCCTAGCTCTGCTCTCTGAGGCCAAACTCACCAAGCCTGATCCTTCTTCCAAAAGACAGCCTTTCAAGTACTGGAACACATCTCTTCCGCACCTTTTCTTCTCTAGGTTAGACATCCTCAGTTCCTTCAAATAGGCCTTGAATGGCATGAACTAGAGGCCCTCCACTATCATGTTACCCTCCTCTGGACACTCTTCTTCTTATCAATGTCCTTACTAAAATGGCACCTAGAATTAAAAACCGCAAACCAGGCATGGAATAGACCGGCTTAGGAGGTCATGGGAACACAAGATCATAGATTTGTAGCTGGAATGGACCTTAGTAGAGGTCTAATCCTTTCCATTTTACAGATGGGAATACTGAGATCACACAAGTAGCGAATAGGAGAGCTAGGATTCGAATCCAAGTGCACTGACTCCAAATCCAACAATATTTCCTTACTACCAACACTACCTAGGTTACTGCTGAAGCATCAGTTCAGATGCTCTCAGGAGAAGCATCACCTCCGTTGGGGGAAAGGTAGGAAGAATGTCAGAGAAATTCCATCCTTAAAGGATCATCTGAGTTTCTTTGTTACTCTGTCTAACCTGCTTCTCATAATGGGTAAGCTGATTGTGGCCTTCTTCAGTCCGTCCTCCTCCTCTCTCCCTCCCCTCCCCTCCACTCTGCCCTCCTCCCTTCTCCTTCCCCCTCCTCTCTCTTCCCTCCCGTTCCCTCCCCTCCCCTCCTCTTCCCTCCCCCTCCTTCCTATTCTCTGGTTTAAAGGGAAATGCTATTCAAATTAAGTGGTACCACTTTCTAAATATCGTTTTAGGATAATTGTAAGTTGATGGAGCTTCTAAATACTCTTCTGGAATGTAGGAGAGATCTGGGCAGCTGCAGAGCAGCAATCCACTCCAGACAAGCAGTTAGCAGACAAGTGCTTGTGCGTAGTGCAGATGTGGTCCAGAGCTGGGAGTTCTTCTGAGCCCTCACGTGCTTCAGTACCAAGTCCCTGGAAGTGCACGCTCATTCTCTTCCCAGATATTGGTGGAAGAGCGTGATCCAGGTTTATGAATGAATTCTGACCCTTTATTATTGATACATTCACTTTGATGTGTGAGTACCTCGTGAAATGATTATTTCTTTTGCTTTGCTGTTAAGTAGTTATTTTTAAGATTGAGAAGTATCATTAGTGTGAGTAGCTATTTTTGTGTAAATAGAACACTCTATTCCTGGGCACAGGGGATACAAACAAAGCGTGCACATCACACTATACTTTCCTTTCCCTTCCTTTCCTTTCCCTTTCCTTTCCTTCTTCCTTAAAAAAAAATCAAGCTACTAGACACAGTAAGGGATGTCTCCAAGAATGTAATGGCTTCATGAAACCTTTTCTCTCTTCTTTTTCTCCACTTCCCCAACCCCTGATGCTGGCTCCATAATTTCTTTTCCTGGGAACCTAGCAAAATGAAACTATTTCTATGTCAAACACCTAGTGACTATTCCTCATTCTAGATCTTTCTTTAGGGGAAATCCATTAGACATGTCCATAGGACAGTTGATTCTTTTGCCTCTAGGCGAGGTCCATCCTTCCAGATTAATCTGATGGATCTGGTAATGTTCAAAGTCCATTAATGGCTTTCCACTGCCTAGTGACTAAAATTCAAAGTGTATGCCTGCCATTTTAAGACTCTTCAAATTCTGTTTTCCACCTAACTCTATAAAGTTGTCTTTCATTATCCTCTGTCAAGAGAGCAAACTAGATCACTTACTATTCCATGAACATCTTCCATGATTTCCTGTTTTTCTGCTTTTGCCCCATTCCACATGTCTGAAAGCTCTTACCTCCAACCCCTATGACCCAGTATGTATATCTGTTGAAATCCTAGCCATTTGTAATGGGGTATGG